GGGTTGGGGTTACGTTAAGCATTCGACCTAAGATTAGATTAAAAGTTAATCGTAAAATAAGGCAGGATCAAGTTTAGGATTAAGGTAGGGGGCCAGTGTTGGCTGCGGAGTTAAGGTTTAGGGTAGGGTTGGGGTCAAGATTGGGGGAAAGGCTCAGTTTAATAAAAGGGTTGTTGTTGGGGTCAGGACAGGAGAATATTTTGCCCTTTCCAGAATTATGCCCAGCTCCACCCTCATTGCTTGGGCGGGGCGTTCCTATCTTCATGCCCTGTTTAGGCGTCCACATAAGTCAGTCCCGCCCTGTAGGCATTAGTTCGCAAGTCGCAATGCGATTGATCCGCAAGCGACCGACCAGGCCTATAAGTGGCTTAAATGTGCGGTCGCAAAGTTGACAGGTTGGGACTAAGCCCACAATACCGGTGTTAAGGACAAGGATGGTGATTCATATTGACCCAACTGTGCAAAACTCGGTGCCTCAGTGGGATTCGAACTCACGACAGTAAGGGGAAGGCTTTAGTACAGCCAACGCTCTAACCACTTAAGCTCCGAGGCCCCGCAGGACGACTAGAGTTTAATCACATTTGGGTCAAGTTTACGCGCTCAACCTACTGCAACGTCTGGAATTCACCAAAGCTGATACAGTAACTTGACTGCGCATGCAGGATTTCCTAAGTAATTCACCTAGAATCCACCATATGACCACCGGGGTCACGTAATTCATAGACGTTTTGGCAGATTTTTGAATCATTCCTATTGACCCAACTGTGAATCCCACCGAAGCACCGAGTTTTTCACAGCTGAGTCAATATGAATTATTCAAAAATCGGCTAGGAATGGGAGGCGGACGGCGAACTTAACCCTAATCCTAACCACAACCCCAACCCTAACCTTAAACGTAAACGTCAACCGTTAACCCTAACGGCATCCCTAACCCTAACCGAAATCGTAAAAGTAACCGTAGCCCTTAGACATAGCTGTAACTGCGAAGCCTAACCGTAATACTGAAACCCATTCATACGCTCAAGCCCTAATCGTAGCCCGAAAACCTAAGCCTAAATGCATCACCCTAACTTGAAAATCGGAAACCATTAACTGGTTCCCAAATCCTAACCTCAACCGTAAAACGGAAGCCAAATGCGACAGATGTGATTTTGGAGCCCCACAAAATAGCCCCACTAAACAAACCCCCCAGCCACCTGTAATACGGGTCCTGGCTACCAACTGCGATCTGGCCCAAAAATCCGCCAAAACATCTATGAATGAGGGTGATGTTTTGTGGGGTGGTAGGAGTCTCCTCCATGATGAAACTAGCAGTAGCGGTAGTTGTGTTGTGTTGTGAGATGAGAGGCTGGTTGGTTGCGTCGGCACTGCACTGAATACAGAGATGTCTCGTGAGGCCGATCCGTGCCTGGAATGTCCGTTGGCAATGTGATTAAGATGGCAGATTTTGGATGCTTGCGTTAGTGGGCCGCAGGACTTGAATCTTGCTCGTCTCTCTCTATGCCTTGCCGGCGGCCACCCAACTTGCTTCGAAGATGGCTGCTCCAGTCTTCGCGACAGTGCGCCATGCTCACCGATCTTGAGCGAGATCATCCTAGTTTTTTGAGCTTATTGTAGATGCTTGAGGGAAGTCTTCATGGTGTCCTTGTGGCCGAGCTTTTGTCCGCCTTTTCTACAACCACTGGTAGTAACATCGCCGAGGAATATTTGCTTGAACAGGCGCTCGTCGTTAGTCCTCACGGCTTAATCGTCGATTTTCATTTTTCTTGAAATCGAACTTCCAAAATAATCGAACGCCTCCGCAGCTACAAGCTGAGCTTCATTGCAATTGTTACAAGGTTCGGTGTAGTCGGTATTTGACGCCCGTTTGTGCGAGACCATTGTCTTCCGCGTGCTGGTGGTTATGCCGGAGTTTAAGCGATCGCAACCGTAGGAATTCATACTTCCCTGAATGCCCCCGTTTGTTGTTGTGTTTAACGAGTGGTCATCCACGAACAATACGTTATGAGTGCTGTCATTTGATACCCTCGAAGGTGATTTCAGACGACTGATGCTGAAGAGTTTTCAGTCCGGTCCGGTGTTTGCTGTCAATCTCTTGCCGATCCTCATGGTAGGCATTGTTCAACATGATGGAGAACGTAAGACTGCATATAGTGGGAATGGGTACGTAGCTCTGCACCAGCCCGTTGGACACCGTGCACCCCACAGAGACTTCCTCGTTGCACCTGACTTGAGCGATCACTCCCTCGTGAATTATTCTTTCCACTTGAGTTAATCTCTCAGGAGGTCTGCATTTTTGCACGACTTTCCAAGTTCCATTCCGATTTATTATTTACAGGGTTTTCCTCAGACCAACGCAGATGGTGTAGATGTTGGTCCTCATTTCCTGGCACTTTTCTTGCAGTTGGTGGGTCGCAAGGATCATTGCTGTGGCTTTACGGTGTTTTCGGAAAGCGCACAGTGTCTACGGAACATGTCCCTGCTTTAGCTGTGCAGTCAGTCGATGTATTAACACACGGACGATAATTTTGCCTGCGATGTTGAGCAGGAAGATGACTTTGTGTGTATCATAAAGTTTCAGTTCCCCTGTAGGGGTGTAGGGGTGTCCAGCGGTGGGTTCACGTGATGGTCGTAGTGGTCGCTCACTTGCTTGCAGGTGAGACTACGCCTAGCGTCCATTTGCTTGCACCCAACTCTCACCTGTGGCTCCACGAAGCTGGGCTCTGCTCAGCGGCCACACCCCGGGCAACCGTCTCGATCGGCGGGATAAACCAGGTGAGGGCCCTGTGCGCTTGCGTCGCGTGCACAGTGTACTGCGGACTCCGCTGGATGGATGGTCGGATAAAACATTGCGCCGGCATCGTCGAAACGAGGCTCTGCCTGGTACGCCGTTGGACAACTGCTGCCGGGACGCGTCTCCGTATCGCCTTCGCTGAGACGCGCCCACCCTCGCCGACGGAGACCGCGGACCCGATTCAGGGGCGGCACTGCCTGCCCCCACGAACAGAAGGGCCTAGAAAAGGTGGCCTAAAAATGCTGGGTAGCACGCCGTCTCCAGGCTAGCCAGGGCCGCAGACGTCTAATCATGGTCGAAACAATCAAAATCGAAACAACAACAATAACAATAACAACAACAACAACAACCATACTCACTCTCCTCATCCTACTTCTTCTAACTCTTCCTCTGCCTATTCTTCTGCCTATTCTTCTCCTTCGTCATCTTCTTCTCCACCTCCTTCCCGTCGCCTCACTCGTTGGCCCCAGACTGGCAGGGTGAGCCCGCTCACTCTGGCAGCCTGGAATGTTCGTTCCCTTTTAGACAATCCGAGGAGCAACCGACCGGAGCGGAGGACGGCTCTAGTGGCACGAGAACTCGCCCGCTACAAGGTGGACATCGCCGCACTCAGCGAGACCCGATTCTCCGAACAAGGCCAACTGGAGGAGGTAGGTGCCGGCTACACCTTCTTCTGGAGTGGTCGGCCCAGGCCAGAACGAAGAGACGCGGGCGTCGCCTTCGCCATTCGGAACGACATCGTGGGACGACTGCCAAGTCTGCCGCAGGGCATCAACGATCGCCTGATGAGCCTCCGTCTGCCTCTCAGGGGTGGGGTCAAATTCGCCACCATCATCAGCGCCTACGCTCCGCCCATGACCAACCCCGACGCCGTCAGAGACAAATTCTACGAGGACCTGCACGCCCTCTTGGCGACTGTGTCGAAGGCGGACAAGTTGATTGTCCTTGAAGACTTCAACGCCCGCGTTGGCACAGACCATACTGCCTGGAGAGGAGTGCTGGGTCCCCACGGTCTCCGCGGCTCAAACGACAATGGTCTGCTGCTGCTCCGCACCTGCGCAGAACACCGCCTCATCCTGACGAACACGTTCTTCTGTCTGCCGGAGCGAGAGAAGGCCACCTGGAGGCATCCTCGGTCGCGTCAGTGGCACCTGCTGGACTATGTCCTCGTCCGGAGGCGAAATGAGCGGGACGTGCTGGTGACGAAGGCGATCGCGGGTGCTGACGGGTGGACCGACCATCGCCTCGTCATCTCGAAGATGCGTATTCGCCTACAGCCTCGCAGGAGACCACAAGGTAAGCGACCCCCAGGTAAGCTGAATGTTGCCTTATTGTATTTGCCCGCTCACCATCTTCATTCCAGCAATGAGCTAGCTCAAAGGCTAGACAACCTTCCTATCGCTGCCGACGCCGCCGCTGCCGAGAACGCCTCCGTGGAGAACCGCTGGTGTCAAGTGCGTGACACGGTCCAGTCGACGGCGCTCGCCGTCCTCGGTCGCGCTCCCCGCCAACATCAGGACTGGTTCGACGACAACGACACCGCCATCAGAAATCTGCTGGCTGAGAAGAACGGCCTACACAAAGCCTACGTAGATCACCCCACTGATGCCACCAAAGCTGCTTTCTACCGCAGTCGCCGCCAATTTCGGCAAAGACCGCGCGAGATGCAGGACGCCTGGACTGCTCGCAAAGCTGAGGAGATCCAAGGCTTCGCGGACCGCAACGAATGGAAGAACTTCTTCTCTGCGATCAAAGCTGTCTACGGTCCGCCGACAAAGGGCACTGCTCCTCTCCTCAGC